TCCCTTCTATTTATATAAAAAAACGCATTATATAATTATGAGTATAAATAAAAATAATAATAAGATTAGATTTTTTGAATTTCGTGTTACGTAAGAGTAGGTGATGGGGCAGGAGATGAGAGAAAGGAACATGTCCTACTAAAGGAAAAGGACACCCCAGATTCCTTTTCTTCTAGGTCATATGATGAAAGAGAAATACCCATCAATAAGGCATTCGTTTTAAAATTATTTTATTTTTTTAAATACTCTATATTTTTCTTCAAGGAACCCGCTATTTGATATATTAATTATTTATAAAAATTATTTTAAATTTTACTTATTATATTTAATGTATGGGGTTAAAATATTATAATGTACGGCAATAAGTTCTAAAAAACATGTTTTTAAATTTGTAATAATCAAATTTTACATGTATTAAAACTCATTTCTAAAAAATATTATATAAATCAATTATATTATGAAAAACGTTTTTGAATATTCTTTTGCTAAAATTTCTAATATTTTCATGTAAATACAGATGAAAAAAATCATTATGTATCATAAAGCGGTTACGAATCTAAAAATAATTATATAAAATGAGCAAATATAAACATAATAGAAATTTTATCTAAAATAATTCATATATATTTTTAATTTAAATGTTTAGATTAAATTTATAAAAAAATATATTAATTGGACCAATATAATTTTGTTTAAAATCTTACATATTTGTTATTAGGGTAAACTAACTATTTGGTCATCTGCCTATTATTTAATTTATGTTGTGGTCACTCAACTATTATTTTTTAAAAACATACATAATCTTACCTTTTGAGTTTGTTTTGATCAACTACCATTAAAAATTAATAATTATATTAACATGATATTTTTAAAAAATATTTTTCAATGCAGACGTTACATTATCTTATGATGACACATCAACATTACTCTAATTGACCAATACAGATCCAAAACGTAAAATTAATTGTGATTTACAATAAATAATAATTGGATGACCAAAAAAAATTAAATAATAAGTGAATGACTAAATAAGCAATTTATCCTTTTTGGGTATGGGGTGGGTCATGACTTAGTTAGGACTAGGCCTAGATTTTTTAGATTTTATTTTGCTAACAATTATATAAAAATAATTTTATTAAAAATTTAACCTAAGCTAAATCATTAATCACTTCCCCGACAAGAGTGGTCCAATTATAAAAGAAAAAGGAAAAGAAGGCCTCCATCATCATCAAATAGGATATTTAATTATGAAAAATAAATAAATATATGTACTTTCATCAATGAAAAGAAAGGGTCAACTGCCAAACTTGAAAAAATAGAATAAAATTGTTAACACTAACATATAATAAAGTAATATATATTTGAATAAATTAAAATTAATTATTATAAAATATAATTAAACTAATAATAAAAACATATTCAAAATTCAATTCATTAATTAATTTAAATGATACATAATAAAGATTTATCATAACAACGATTTTTTAATTTTATTTTCTTCGTTTGTAATACTAGAATTTGAATCATTAATGTTATTTAAATATTTAAAATTTTATTATATTAGACTAATTTATAATTCGTTTTTAAAAAATAACTTTGATAATACAAATAAATACCTAAACAATTCTCTCCAATCTGCCTCCCTTTCCTTCCATTTTTTATATTCTCTTTTTTTAAATTAATCACTGACATCCGATCTATTGATCGATTAATTCAGATCAAGTACTACAGAGACGAAGGCGACCCTCCCAATCCAATTTGCTCTATTCGCAAACGCCATTATTCGAACCCTTGCTTTACTTAAGGGACCTAATGTCTCATCGCACTAGACAAAATGGTCGTTGATTTTATATTCTATTTTTGGTTTTGGTAAAAGTAAAATAAATTGGTAATTTTGTTGTTGAATCTGGTGGTGATTTGAATATTTTTCGATATTCGATTTCCTTTATTAATTGTTGGTTGCAATAATTTATTTCAATTCGATTATTACATCTAATCAAACAAAAACATAATTTTTAATATAATTTCGTAATAATATTACATTTATCGTGATTTTTATATTTTTTTCCTAAATGAGCGTAATTTGAGATATACATTATCTTATGCATGACACGTGTCTAGTTAATTAATTAAAAACCTAATTAATAATTATACTTTCTTTATAGACATCGCCTCCTTATCTTTTGCAAAATGAAATAATTTGGGTCACTTTATGACATTAAACAAAACAGGGTTAAAGTTTGGTAGAGATTTGCTCCCTCAAAACAAGGCTTTGAGCCCTCTATATTTGAATAAACATGCATGCTTTGTCATCATCAAATAAAACAAACATATATACGTATATAACGTAATTGTTCAAACTCAACATCTATGAGAAGAATACTATTCTTTTTTATCGTTAAAATCACTTTATGAATTTAAGTAATAAATTTTTTTAATGCATGTGGGGTTTGTTGCCCATTTTAAGCTCTCAGGCATAATTGACGGGAAGTTCTATCGTGTGACAACCTTAATATACGACTAAAGAAAGACGTTACTGGTTTTATTATTATTTTTTAACAAAACCGGTAAAAAATTACCTAAAATATTATTATTTCTACCTAAAACATTAATATTTTTTAACATTTCTGATAAAATACCCAATAATAACAAAATCGATATAAATAATAATATTTCTGATAATTTGTCACCAATTTTATTAAAAAAATAATAATAATACCGATAATATTTTTTTAATCGTATATTAAAGTCATCACGCATAGACTTTTCCATAATTGATGTCTCCCATTATCTAATCAAATATCTCCCCCATCCCATGCCACATCAAAACACCCAATTGCACACATGCACTTATATTATATTATATATATTATTATAATGACAGAGAGACAAAACTAGGATTAAATAACGAAAAAAATTATCATCGAAATTAACAAAATTTAAATATGTTTAAATTATTGGGGATCAAAATTATTATTAAACAAAAAATAGAGAGAAAACATGGACCCTTCCACTCCCTTTCTAGCTTTGTCCTCGTACCCGCTAATTAAATCAATTTTAAATTTTTTTAGAATAAAATATAATATATCTATTATATAAAAAGTATATATATTATTAAATAATAATTCAATTCAGATAGAAATTTAAAAAGTTTATTTTTTTACTAATATGATTGGTTTAAAGTGATAAGTAATTTAATATTATTTAATCAGTTATTGAATTTGATGTTTTATGTATGCAAAAAGTTTTCGTTAGGAAACTCACATACTAAAATTAAATGTACGATATGAGTTGATTCGAATTAGACAGACCGAAAGTTTAGAACTGGGAGGAAAAAAATATCTTTTTAAACCTAGGGCAACTGTGTAACCATGGGCCTTCATGATTGGAAATATATGATAATGTTAGTAAATGAAATAAGTATCATTTACTCCTTATTCATATATTTTGTTTTTATATTTAATACACATAATAATTTAATTTTATCTATATCAAATTATCAATGTTTATAAACATTTATTAAGAATTATTTATTTATCTATTTTAATTTTTTTATTGACAACATTGCTTATAATAAACTTATAATAATATTAATTTAATTGTATTTTAAGTTTGATTTCGGACACCTCTTATATTTGTTATAAAAAAATAGTTTATTAACTTTTTTTAAATATGCATTACTTCTAATTTTCACATATATATTTTTTCTTAATTTCAGTAAAATTAATTTAGTAAAGAATATAAAAAAATTCCTTGATCAATTGTTCATTATCTTTGATGTTATAATGTCAACCAATTGAGTTTGGTGATGACATTTATATTACCCCTGAACACTAGGAGCTCTCACTTCCCCTACAAAGAGATAAAAGGGTAACCTAACCTACATTTAATTAATAATATGTTTGCTACGAGGGGAAAAAAGAAAAGAAAATAAACATGGTGGAGGGGAAATTATTAAATTTCCATTTAATAAGAGGAAATATGATATGGATCCATTTTTTCTTAATTTAAATCAATTTGATTTTCAATATCAAATTGTTGTGAGTTATTTTCGAACATATATTGTCTTGTATTTAATCAAAATTAATAAAAAAATTAATTTATATTTTACCAACAATCTATTGGTATAATAAGACGAGACACTAGATCTCTTAAGCAATATTAGGAGTTTGAATACTAGCATTTGCAAATGGAGCAAACTGGGTTAAGAGTGTCGTCATTGTCTTTGCAATACCCGATCCAAATTAATCGATTAATAATCAAAAACCGACAATTATAAAAAAAATAACTATATTATGAAAAAATTAACCAATAAAATAACTAGATCTCTAAAATTTTATGATAATATAAGCAAATCTCCCTAATAAATACTCCACTATGATTAGATCAAATGCATAATATGCTTGAAAACAGTAATAATCAAACTACTTTGTTAATTAATCGTGTTTTGTTTGCCAGCTTGAGATTGTTATTATTATTATAGATAATCATTACTTATCAAATTTCAGCCCTCAGATGGGGACTTAAAGAGAATGACATCAACCTTTTTTCATTTGTGGATATGCAAGTCAATGCTGTAAAAACTGTATTAGTGGTCGAATAAAATAGATAATTTTAATTCAATTCAGTCGGTTAGTTCAATGATAATCAATCAGGTTTTGACACATGTACCCGTGACATGATGACGTGTCACTAGAATTACGAGAGAGTGGCCAAAATGAAAACGGAACTAAACATCGTGATTTGTTTGAAAAAAATCCAAGGACTAGAATGAAAATTTTCGAAGTTCAGTGCCCACACACAATCTCAAATGGAGGATGACTAGCAGTAAACACAAGCATCATAGAACCTCCCACTAGTGCATTGATTCCAAACTTGGACAAACTCACCAGATAATGATGGTGCAGCATTAGAATAAGATAAAGAGTCACAGCACGCTTTAAAATGTTCTCTAAGGCCCGTAAAAGAGAAGCGGTTTAAACATTTATACTCCCAAACATAGAAAAACAACCATTCCAAACAGCATTTATGCTCCCAAGTCTCCGAGAGGCAAACTATTTAAAGCTCTTAACAAAAATCTTTAAATTTAGAGTTGCAATAACACACAGCAAATCGAACTCAAACTACTTTGGACCAATGTCCTTGAGTGCACAAATCTGCTCCTCCCCCATTGCCGACATAACAGAGACAACAAGGTCTTTCCCCTCAGCAAAACCATCCTTGATCTGCAGTCAAGAAAGAAGCTATTATCGGAACAACCGATGCAGAGACATTAAACTTTAACTTTCATCACCACGATGGGAAGTAACTAGAAATGCAATCATACAAGTACACATTGAAAAATTCAGCAGCATCATGATAATAAACAAAAAAACAAGCAATTTCAGCCCGATTGAACATGCTTAAAGGATTGTAAACACCCATTGGATTTTGGGATTCAACAGGAGTTTTGAACATGCTTAAAGGATTATAAACACCCATTACTCAACTAACGGTTTCTATCCAAAAAAGGACATTTTGGCAACACACACACACACACAAAAAGTTAAGGGCTACAGTGCTTCAAAAAAAAAGAATAGGAGCCAAGGTGAATATTCTGTCAAATATTAAGAACAAATTTTAGCAGTATTCCTATAAGAAAATGCATCAAAAGATAGATAGTTGACCTGTTTCAACAAGCTCTCATCAGTTGGGAGCCTCAGATCATCCTTAGTGTCTCCGCTATCAGTAAGCAAGCTCACCTGAAATATTGAACTGGTTTAGAAGAAACACAAACCAAAAAATGGGGAGAGGGAAGAAGATAGGGAAAATCAAGTAAAAAGGAAGCAAAATGAGCTTACAAATCCATCCTCAGAAATGTCAATCAACTGGTAATCAACACGATTGACATGCGGAACCTGTCAAAAACAAACGGAAATCATTCATGAACACAATCCAATTACAAGACAGATTAAAGTTAAAACCAGAATGAGAGCAATCCACACATCACAATTGTGGGAAGAAGGAACAATATCCTCCAGCTTCTTAGCAGTGAAGATATCAATTCCAACAAAATGACACTTAGCATGTCCGTGCTTCCCGGTCTTGGAGGTAGAAACTTCAACAACCTGTAGAATGCCCCATAAAACAACAACCATGTTAGCTAAAATTTGCAAATCATTAATGCACCCAAATATAAATAACAACCATGAGGGCCAAATCAACAGTCACAGTAGTTTGTCAAATGCTATATCATCAGCTTGCTCATCATCAGAATAATCAATCAAAAATTATAATTTCTTAATAATAAAGGTTATGTGTCGTTTGTTTCTGTTACCCCCTCTCAACTTGCTTTTGATTTATCAAAAGCTACTATAAAGCTAAAATCCAAATAACAATCATAGGGTGAAAATTAACAGTAATTTCATCACATGCCAATCATGGGCTTAGTCATCATCAGGGAATCATTCAAAAATTATTAATTTCTTAACACTAAATACTCAGAGTTGTTTACTTTTGTGTGTTTGTGTCAGCGTTTCCAATTATAAAGCTAAAATCCAAATAAAAATTGTAGGGTGGTGCAATTCAACATCCAACGCTAATTTATCACATGCCATATCATCATCAGCTTGCTCATCATCAGAACAGTCATCCAAACATTATAAAATTCTTAATACTAAAGATTCAAGAGTGTTGGCTCTTTTATTTTCCTTTTGCTTTATCGAAAGTTATAACAAAAGCTAATGAAAAAGAATACAAAACAAGCAAAATCAAATTGAATTCTCAATTCCATCAAAGGCAACAATTTTACTTTTCAGTTCAGCAAAGAAAAAAACTAATAAAAGGTAAAAATCAAACGAAATATATAGACTTCAACTATCCAACCACTATAAAAGCACTAAAAGAGAACAGATCTGAAGCATCAGAATGTCAAATCTCAATACAAATCTAAAAAAAGACAATCACGAGTTCATTTTTACGATAATATCAAAGAGATGGTTCAATTAAAAGAGGATACCTTGCAGGGACGATTCTTGATGACTATGTACCCGTTCTTGCGAATGGTACCGGCTTGTTGAGGGTAGGTTTTGGAGGCGCCGGCGTCGGCCTTGGACTCAAAATGATGCTCCTCGTCCGACATTATTAGCTATATGTTGTTTACTTTCTGGGCTTTGGCTGAAGCAGATTGGAGAAACACGAGAGTAAGCGTGAAGGTTTGTAATTATATATAAGATTTTTTTGTGTATGTTTAATGTTTGAAGGCTCTAACTATCGCTAGAGTCCCTATACTCTTTGGACTTTCTAAACATAGTCAGCCTATGTGTTTGATTTAAAATAAAAGTGTAATAGATAATCTTGTTAATTAATTTCTGTTAAATTTAAATACATAATATGGATTGGATTTTAATTTTTTATTACATATTTAAATATTCAATTTTTATTAAACTGTACTAATAGTTTTAGATTTTTTTTTCATACACACATATATAGGTTAGAATGAAATATATTATGCAAAAATATATTGATGAAATTTATTCTAATAAATAACTGTTTATAGATTGATAAATTAATTTTAATATTTTTTTGTTGTGTTATTTAAACTTTATATCTAAATATGGAAAATAAAAGCATTTTTTTCAATATTATTAATTAACCTTCGGGATAAAGATATGTTAGTCGTTTATGATTTTCTAATTTAGTGACTGTTGAATTGATTCAGAATACTAATCCAGTTTCACATGCTACGAATATAGGGAGTATATGTTATCAAGTTAACAAAGGGTTCTAATTCAATTCCAAGTCCCTGTACGCTTTGAAATTTTAAATTTAACCACTATATGTTTGATTGGAATACTAAAATGCAATTCGATAACATTGATATTTCCGTTAAATTTGAATGCAAGCTACCAAATGATCTTTGATTTTTTAAATTTAGTATCAGAATGACATGTATTTAATTTAATTAATTTCTATTACATGTTATCAGGTGGATTTTTTTTAAGATTGAGATATTAATTTTTATATAAAATCAAAAGAGGGACTAAATTATAGGAATTATAAGTAGAGGCCTTTGAAAGTGTTGTTAGGGTTTTCAGTCGATATCCTTTCGGGAAGAGGTGGGTCCCTTCGACCGTTGATTTTAGGCGGTGATGATGGATCGGTTGGAAGCTACTGCGTTCTTTGAACGCGACAAAAATTCCTTTTGACTAAAATTCAAATTTCACAACTCAATTTTAACATTATTTCCTTTTTGGTCATTAAATTTTAAAAATTTCGAATCTAATCTCTCAACTTTTGTTTTTGTTACTTCATCATTAAATCATCAATGGCGTGATGACATAGTGGATTGTTTTTTATTGACGTAGAAGACACATGTTATCAATTTTGTTTTTAATAGTTTTTTTGTCATCTTCACCGCAACTTTATGTCACTCTTTCCATCACCTTTCATTTTCGTTTCTTTCTTTGTTATCTATTATCTTAAACTAACAATTAATCGTATCGAAAAGAAAAAACCAATGATTACATTAGCCCCATAACTATCTATGCTCAGCATATTGAAAAAAAAACGAAGATTGATTTGAAAAAGGATATTTTTTAACGTTAAGGGTGAGTAAAACCTGATTTAAATCGATATTAAAATAACTTGACTCCATTTGATTCAAAAAAGTTTTAAATTTGACTCGAATTATAAATAAAACTCGAATAATTTAAATTTTTTTGATAATTAATAGATTGATTTTTAAGTTCATGTTTGTTCTACCTGCTCCTCCTAATGAGTTATGAGTCCGGTCTCGCCAAATGCTTGATGGGTGATTTCCATGGTAAAGAGAGTGTGGTTTTGGTGTGAAATGCACTAGAAGCGAGTATACACTTTGAGCTGCTAAATAATATGAGATCAGATGACATAGTTTTCTTCTTAAAAGAAAAGGGAATAGACTCCCAGTTTAAAATCACAGTGTTGATATCACACATTCTTCAGCGCCCTTAACATGGAAACAAACATTTAGTACACATTACCAGAAGTTCTTATGTTATTTTATAATGGATCTACTCAAAGTTAATAACAAGGATCATCTCCTTCTCTTGATCAAGCATGGCTGCCATAAATGAACTTTCAGATGACGAGTTTTATGGCTTGAAGCTGAGACAGAAGGTCCAGGGAATCACATTCAGCAGTAGCATGATGGTTAATGTTGTTGGTCCCGGGAGCTGTCATCCATTGGTTATTGTTGATGTTTGTAGTAAATCCTTGTGTTGCTGCTGCCTGGGGTTGATGAAGTACCGGTTTCATCAGGAACGTCTTCTTCATGTCTCGGTTGAGAGATCCGATTCGGGTTCTCAGCTTTGGAAGGCAGCCGATGTTCCTGTAATCGGCTAGGATTTGAGAAATGTTTAACGGGATCGATCCCCATTTTGGATAGCTTCTTCCTCAGCTTAGTGTTCCAGTAATTTTTGACTTCATTGTCTGTTCTGCCAGGAAGCTGTTGGGCTATCATAGACCACCTTGAACCATGACCAAAAATAAAATAAAAACCAGATAGACACACATACAAGATAGTGTCATATCAAAGCAAAATCTGATGCTGCAGCCTATGTTTAGATACATAGGCAAGTATCTTTGCATCTTCTTCTTCAGTCCATAAAACTTTCTTCACATTCAGCTTGTCACAACAAGGAGGTCTTACCATCTTTATCTGTCGAATCAAAAACTCAGAATTAACGAGGATGAAAATCGAATATAACCCGAAAAATGAAGAAGAAGGAAGAAAGGTTTTTTGGTATCAAGTGAGAGAAGAGCATGAAATGCATGAGAGATTGGGTTTTCATATAATCAAATTTGCATGATGAAATGACATCATATGCTTTACGAAGAAAAAAAAAAGTTCATAAAAACCACTTACAATGTAACCTTTTTTTCTCATGAGAAGAAGGAAGAAAGGTTTTTTGGTATCAAGTGAGAGAAGAGCATGAAATGCATGAGAGATTGGGTTTTCATATAATCAAATTTGCATGATGAAATGACATCATACGCTTTACGAAGAGAATAGGGTCAGGTTTGATTTTGGTTAAATTTAGAATATATATAAGTGGAAATAACATTAAAATTTTTATTTATGTGATATTTGTTTAGATTAAATCCACTCATTTTGTGGGGGAAAGGAAATGATTTTTGTTTTGTTTTTTTTCAATGACTACAAGTTCGATGAGAGGAACTATTTGAATAAGAGATCCAATTAATTGAAGAAATGATAAAAGAACCTCTAATTCTAAGTGTTAAACTTAAGTTACGGGAAAAAAACATTATTTGTGCGTGAATTACATAATATTGTTTAAATTTATCTGAAATATGTCAAGCAAATTTTAATTCAATTGACATTATTATTATTACAACATGGAAAACTCGAAACCTACGTTTCCCTAACTCCCTTGGGGGTTGCCATTGTTGATGCCGGTGGCGAATCACTGTATTGCCGCTATCCGGAAGCGGCGGCTTCCATTTTACCAGAAATGTGTTCTTCATGTCTAGGTTGAGAAATCCAATTCGGGTTCTCAATTTCGGGGAGGCTGCCGGTGTTCCTATACTCGGCTAGGACTTGAGAAAAAGAACTGTGAGTAACGAGATCGATCCCCATTTCGCACAGCTTCTTCTTCAGCTTAGTGTTCCAGCAATTTTTGACATCATTGCTTCTTCTTCCTTGAACCACCCCCCCCCCCAAAAAAATACACGTAAAAGACAAACTTGTCAGTTTACGTTTGTTATGATCCCATGACACACCAAAGGCAGAATCTGATGGTATAATTTAAAATGTGAGATGAAATAATTATTTATCAAAATTATTTGAAACAAATTGTTACAAAATTCACTGTTGATTAATTTACCAACAATTAGTTGTCTCACGGATGAGATGTTTTGTGCTTTAAACAACGTTGAAGTATTGAATAAATCATTATAATACTTAATTCAAATAATCGATCAATAGATCAAATATCGATAAATATATCATAAAATAGATCAATCTTTTTGAACTAATAAAAACAGTTATTTTTATTAAATAAATAAATAATTACGATAAAATTATAATCTAAAAAAAAGGAAAAATTAACTAATCAAATTACCCAATCATTCCTCTTATAACCATCAACCACTAAATAATGAAGAGAACATGGATAGATTAAAGAAAACTCAAGCCAAACAATTCGAATAAAATAAAAGATACGAACAAAAATCACTATAGACAACGGAAGATAAGCAACATTAACACTAACATAAAAATAAATATAATGATGATAACATATTGAGAAACTATGTTTATTACCATTTGAAGGCGACCTACATGAAAAATATTATAAGCAAGGCCTACGAGTAATCCTTGAGTCAAAAAGATTGTGAAAAAAGAAGTGACATACAATTTCAATGAATTACCTTATTGAGTAAAGAATTGAATGAAACGAATAGCTATGTTACAATTACACTAAGAAAAAGGTCCCCATCATCTAATTCCTTTCCTCTATACCCTAACAACCTATACAACATCTTCTATTTGATGGGCTACTGTAAACAAATTTACAAGGAATTGAATTCTACCGTAAGTGGATGGTTAGAACTTTGTACATGTTTTCATGGTACAATGGGACTTTTTTCCTGCTTTGCTATCCCACAGGCATCCCCTCTAAGAAAACGGACTGAGATCCCTATCAATTAAAGCACTGGAGGAGAGCCGAACCCGGAACCAAAAAAAAAATGCCAAATGAAAGGCAGAAGCTGAAAAAAATCGATAGATCAAAGCGAGAAGCTCCAGCCATGCCTGCTACAAAATTTGGTTTGAAAAGACTAGATGGGTTATCGCTGACCTTGATTACTTGTGATTGAAGGTACACTGTTTGTCACGTTGCATTTATGTGATTGCAGATGTAACGAATAATATGGCAGTTAATCGTGATGAACTTCGACAGCAGAAAGAGCTGAATCAACGAAATAACAACAGTAACATTGGAGTGCGTTAGCTGTTTGAATCCCTGATCGTAACCATTCTGCATAGAAGCTTGGCCCATCTGACATTTACCGAGTAATGGGAGGCATGTCCTGAAGGATTATGCATAGTTCAAGTCCTGCAAAAGCCTACGGGATAAGGCCCTTGCCCTGTATGCAACATCTCTGAAGGCTTGAAAACGCACCAATACAGAGGGTGAGGCACATCCTGCCATTGAGATAAATGTTGCAGCTCAAAGAACGATTTGAGTTCCTCAAAAGCAGTATTTCCTGTCATTCAGTCAAATTCGTCAGTACTAGGATGCAATCAAGCTGAGTCAAGCTCAAAGTGTAAGAATATAGAGCTCAATTCAACTCAAAATTCAAGGCTTGAAGCTTGATTTTAGTTTGATTGATTTTCACTTTTAAAGTTCGAGCAGTCTTCGAGATAAAAATCCAACTGCTCAAACTCTGTTGAATGGACATATATATTTGAGTTCAAGTTCAGATTAGAATTTCAATACTAATTAAAAATAAAAAAGATTGATTAGGTTCACGAGGTATTCAAGTAAGTAACAGAATGCTCGAGCTCAAGTCGCTCAATGGCTTCCCTCAATTCGGCAACGACCAAAGCGGATTCGAGTTTTTATTGAGCTGAACCTGAATATCTTGCAAGTACAGGTCTTCTGTCTACGAGTATAATGAACTCTGCAGGAGCGTATTACCTTGTGGGAATAGAGAAACTGATCCTCATATATTGTGCAATCTTCTTTGTAAATGGTCAATTCACTTGGCCTTCTCCTGTTCAGCATCCTTCAAAGCTTTTTTCTTATCCATTTCCTCCTGCTTCAAATTATCTTCATGTGATTTTTGAAACAACTTCACAAATTTTAAGATTGTTGCGGTAACTGCATCCGTCAAATACACAAAATCATCGATTCAACTTCAAATCATCAAACGAGAATAGTTTTACTGTGAGGGAACATATTGATTTTAGATTGAAATAAACAGAATCCTAACTAGCTATGTTATCTGGAATCGTGTGCCAGTGTGGGACTGGGATACAATACGCTTACGTGTCCTACAGCTATTTTCATTTTTATTCTAAGCTTTTCTGTGTATGGAAGGTATTACATCCACAACCTACCTTGCTCAAACGGGCATCGAGCAGGATCCTCACCAAAATAGTGTACAAGTCCATCTGCATTTCTACCCTGTCCACCAAAAGATATAATATCAATGACTGAAGCCATAATCGAAATAGTTGGATAACATTTAGACTTATGTTACTCGGACTCAACTCTTGAAAGATCGTATCCCCTAGATAAGTGCTAGAAATGGGTACTTAAAAGGAGTTAGAGAAACATAGACATTAAACTATCAGAGAGAAAGTCAAACATTTGGCAAATTACCACCACAGTATATAGAGTTTGCAGGGATGCTCCCTCTGTTTCGGCTGCAGAAGTAAATTCCTTTAATGTCTAAATTAAAAGAAGAAAAAATGTTAGAACAATGAAAGCATTCCCTTAGTAAAAAAATAAAAATAAAAAGCAAAGTAGTTGATAAAGTTTGATGTAGGTTTTATGTTCAACAAGAATATGCTCAATTTTCTTTCTAAGTTTTTTCATATATTTGGAAGATCATACTCCCACACAAATATCCGAGTATGTGTTGGATACAAGAGTCGAACACAAATACTCCAGGAATAATAAAAAAATGGAGTGACATAGGTAAACAAATACTTGACATGTAATAAAATACAGTGAAGAATGCACCAAATTTTCTATATGAATGTTGAAGAATAAAAAGCAGTGAAACAACAATATACCTTCCGGAAAACTTCAGATACGGGACCATCACTTTCTGAGGCAGCCAGCTCCTGCTTAACCTTATCTAATCCCTTAGTTATAGCTTGCATTTCTTCTGCTAAAGATTTTAATTGTATCTGCAAGGACAAAAGGCTTCAAACTAAACATACTGTTACCTAAGTTAATAGGATTTGAGTACAAGTGTCAAACAAAGACACTTTTAAGAAAAATGAAAGAGTCAGAATAACATAGGTTAACAAAATACAAAATCCGAGTACTAAAAAAGACCGATGGAAACCTTAGTTGAAGCCTCAAGGTTAACAAACTCCAGGTGAAACTGAAGAAGTTCTGGTGTCTTGTTAGCTAGGACCTGAGACACAATAAAACACAGTTGATACCAATTCAAATTGTCAGTTCCTTTTTGCATCAGAAACAAGTTCCATTTTCAAAAAATCTACCGACTAAATCATATAAATATGTTCAAGTCTAGTAAAAACTAAAGAACCGGTTCTAAAATATATAAAAAGACAGCTTACAAATTAAAAGAGTGGTATTTAAATCTTTCAAGAAAAACAATAACGTTAAATAACGCCAAAGAGAAGGAAATAAAATTGACATACCTTGCAGAGGTAATGCATTAATGTCATCCTGCTAGTAGAAGCACGTGTATCTGAGAGCTTTAGAAGACTATCCAACTTAAATCCAACTGCAGAACCTGTATCATACGAATAATTTCGAAGCTTCATATTAAAGGAACACCCATTCTTACAAAATCACATTTCGCAAGCACCTATTTTCCGATTCATATTTGGACATGGGTATGGTGGCATGATCCTCCAAATATCTAAAAGAACTTAGAATATATTGAACATGTCCATGTCGAACATATCTTTATCTGAGGTTTATCCCGAGTCTGAGTTAGATAGCTGACTAGAATCCAATAGCAACCATCATAAATGATAACCATACTTGCAACATCAAATAGAATGCTTAGGACTACATATAACAACAAGGCTTCCAGTTTAAGAAATACTGCTCAAAATATGTGACTTAACCTCATCTGCATGTGGTTTAGTTAGTATGTATCATCCTATGTTACTTCGAATCGAGTATGAGTGTTAAATTTTAGTATGTAAATTTTTTGAGGGTCTTTCTAAGGTAGTATCACCATTCCCTTATATGAATAACAGACGGGTGTGAGTGTCTTACGCAGGTATGGTCGAATTCTTTTCAAGATTTTCATGTATATGGAAGATATTTGAAGGATCAATTCCTCATGCTCATGCCTAGAGATGCAATGGATACGGGTTTGATGCATCAAAGACTGAAGCCAAAAGGAAAATTGAATGTATAATTTACCCCTTGCAGTTCCTTGGTTCAGTGCATTTCCCAGATACAGAATTTTCTTCATGATCTCCTTGAATTTTTGGGAATTTCGAATCTAAATTTAGCAAATACAAAAGTAATTAAGAGAATTATAAATGAATAATAAAAAAGCATACTTAAGCCCATTCAGCAATATTAATCACATACCTCATCACATGCAGAATTTACAATGTTTAAGCTCTTTCTAAATTCAACAATCTGCAAAAACACAGGTTAAAGAGGGATTCAATAAATGAAAAGGGGAAAGAAAAGAAAAGAAAAAGCAACAGAGTAAGTACAAAAAAATATTGTAAACTTATGGAGATTCTGCCAAACCTGAGTGTTGAACTGAATCTTGAAAAGGAACACGTTTAATTTTGCCTCTACTCGTGGCACTTTCATTAGCTCCATAAAGAACTGAACATTGACAAATCAAAAGCTAGTTAGTTTGGAGCTTTTGCAAACATGGATCGAACAAAAATGTAACAGGAAAAAGCATCCTAAAAAATAATATCAAATCCTATCATTAGTCCCTATATTCCAATTTAATTAATTTTAATTCTCCTACTTTTCAAAACTTGATTTTTTTATCAACTTCAACATTTGAAATTTCAGTCCTAACTCAAAGGATACACAGATGATAAGACTAGATTACAAGGAATGATCAAATAGGAGAACATAAACTAAATCTAGGTATAATACATGAACTATAGCAAATTTTGACTTAACAAATTTAATGACTACTGCTGTTTCGAATAGGACCAAAATTTGAAAATTACAAGACAAAAAATGACCAAACTAGAATATCAGCACTAAATATGTAATTTACACATAGTACAGAGACTAATAACAAAATTTGACCCCCAAAAAGTATAAGCAAGGTCTGGAACATGGTTTTAACACATTCGGGTTGGTTTGAATTATTTAATAACAAAAATATAAAAATATTAATATAAACAAAATAGTATTTTATTATTTTATGAATAGTGAGTTAGGCATGCAAACAAGCTTCAGCCCGAGCCAAAATTGAGAATAGGAAGCACAAAATACATAAAAAAAAGTACAAAAAATACTTCAAACACAAAATGACCTCTGAATTTGATAAGTTTGATCGAATTGACCCCTGAACTTGACAAGTTTGATCAAAGTTTAGCCAAATTGACTTAAGTATAGGGACCAATTTGACTCAAAAAATGTTTAGGGCCAATTTGACCCAGAAAAGTGTAGGGGGCATATTGACCTAACTTGTCAAGTCCAGGGACCATTTTCTGTTCTAAACTTACAAAAAATAAACAACTTATTTTGGATATATATTCGTATTAAACACTCGTATCCAAATAACCTATAATATTAAATGATTACAAAAAAAATTAATTCGAAAAATTTCTCTTGTAACATGTTCATGTTAATGCAATCATCTACGAATCTACTAAACTACGAAATTTATTAAGTCCAATGAGTTAAAAAGTTGGAAGATGTGATTTAGAGAAAATTTTGCAGACCTGTTCACATTTCCCTAGAGCCTCCTTGTCACCGGTGTACTTCTAAAAAATAACAAGGATATTGAATCAAATTCAAGAAGATAAACTTGAAAATGCATATATATATATATATATGAATAATGTTACTGTGACTATTTATTTATTTATTTTAAAGTATACGTGTTTCACGCTATTTATTCCCGACACATATCTAGACGGGTAAAGGGATCTGACCTTACAAGTAAATGAAAAATCTTTTAAAAAAAAAATATTCATCATGCCCGACTCTCATAATCAAGTCCGAGTACTATATTGTGTGTGTGTATATATATATTTATGCTAAGGCTTCACCTTGATCAGTTCCATTTCATCTTTAGTCGGACAAAATTTTATGAGATTTTCCACTTGATCAGCATCTAATGCTGTATCATCCAATGCTAGCACTGCAGCCTGAAAAAAATACATGAAGTTGTATATGGCTATTAAACAAATAAAAAGGACAACCTTCAGTTAAAACTAAAGAGAAATTAAAAGGAAAACAAAGGAAGAGAGAGCTGCCAAGAAAAATAAATATATTTGGTTTGATTCAATTTTAGTTCATAAATTTTAGAAATTGCAATTATTCGAACTGAACCTAATATATAATTTTTGATTTGTTTGTATCTTTTATAATATAAAAATAATCAATTAGTGAAAAAGAACTTAAGAAAATACAATAAGAAGACCATGTCCAGCATACCATCATATCAGGAAGAGGCATCTTAACTTTAGTGAGCATTATTTCAGTGTTATTAGCCCTCTTAATGTCAACCTACAATGGAATAAACAAAATTTGTTAGTAATAGCGATGAATATTAAGGTCTAGGTTTTAGTAATAAAATGAGATTCCATGTTACCAGGTGGATTACTTCAGATTTTGTACTAGCTGGCTTGGCTTGCGCTGCAGATTTAGCAGGTTTAGGAACAACTGCAGAGAAAAGAGTCTCAAGCTCCGATATATCAAATTCTGAGGCACTGAGAGAAGGAAGGCAATGTCAGCAAATATATATATATATATAGGAAACTAACAAATATAAAAGTGTAATGCTTACATGTAATCCCATGGAATTTTAGAGTAAATAATTAGTCATAAATTTATTGCTTATGACGGTGTACTATAGAAAAACTAACTCATTAAAAGAAGAGAAAATACAGTTGTTGAGGCTCTCCATGTTTTTGCAATTCATCCCATAAGCTCCCTTGTATCGCCCTTGTAACCTTGACCCAGTGTAAAGGCTTTAAATTAGATTTTCGTGGTGCTGCACGTCCACGCCCTCTTCCTTTCATGTCAGCTCCTTTGGCACCTAGTGGAGGTGGGGGAGGTCCAGCGCCACGAGCTCCAGCTGGTGGAGGTGGAGGGCCAGGAGCTCCAGGTGGAGGTGGAGGACCAGGAGCTCGACCACCAGGAGGTGGTGGTGGAGGTGATGCTCCAGGAGCTCCACCACCAGCAGGTGGTGGGGGAGGTTGTGCTCCAGGAGCTCCACCACCAGCAGGTGGTGGTGGAGGTGGTGCTCCAGATGAGGGAGGCGGTGGAGGTGGCACTCCATGCAGTGGAGGAGGGGATTGAGGAGGAGCATTGGACGTTGGAGGTGGAGGTGGGGGTGGGGGTGGAGGAGGAGCATCGGACGTTGGAGGTGGAGGAGGGGGTGGAGGAACATCGGACGTTAGAGGTGGAGGAGGGGGTGGAGGAGCATTGGACGTTGGAGGTGGAGGAGGGGGTGGAGGAGCATCGGATGTTGGAGGTGGAGGAGGGGGTGGAGGAGCATTGGACGTTGGAGGTGGTGGTGGAGATGGGTTTGGGAGTGGTGTGGATGATGAAGCCCCATGTCCAGTAGAGGGCGGTAGTGACGGCGAAGCTCCATGTGGTGATTCTGCAAGAGTAGGTGGAGGTGGCGGGGGTGATGTTCCACATGATGTAGGTGGAGCTGTTATTTCGTGCAATGGAGGAGAGGGTGTCTGTGGAGGAGGAGAAAGAACTGAAGGTGGAGTAGGAGAAGGTAGAGATGGGGGGCTTGGGGAAGAATGGGAAGCTGATCGCAGTCCATGGACAAATGCTAGAGCCATAGCAATTTGAATTGGTGTGGTGGGAGGGGGAGGACGGAAATGACGTTCTTTTGATGGGGACGGAGGTGGATGACTAAAATTGCAAGGTTTTGATATGGAACGTGGGGGAGGACGAATATCACTAAGTTTTGGCGTGCCTTTTGAAGATCTAGCATTGGTTGAGGTTGAAAGAGAAGGCGGACTATGTGATACGGTCTCGGTAGCTGAAGAAGACCCAACCTTCCATGGTGGTGGAGGTGGTGGAGGAAACACTAGCGCAGTAGCCTGGTTATTCAATAAATGAGAAGATGTTGAAGCCGTTTGTGAAACCATTCCAACATTTTGTACATATTCTGCTCCATTGGGTTGAGGGGGAGGTGGTGCTGCGAGAGCCATTTTAGAAAAAGCATTTCCAACAGCTGCCATGAAAGGATGTGGCGGGGGTAGTAAAGATTTTGCATTTTTCTTAACAGACTCTGAAACCAATAAAGAAAATTTGGGTGGAGGTGTAGGTGGAGGTCGAGGTCGAGGAGGAGGAGGAGGTGGTGAGGGTGAGGATGATGGTGGAGGTAGTGTGCTTGGTGGGATAGAAACTGGTTGCTGCAAACCAGAAGGAAGTGTAGGCAACGCAGTATGATAGCCTTTGCTAGGAGGGATTGGCTGAGATACATCACTTGGCTGAGATATATCACTTGGCTGAGCTATCACTTGGCTGAGCTGCATCACTTGGCTGAGATACATCACTTGGCTGAGATACATCACTTGGCTGAGATACATCACTTGGCTGAGATTGTCTTCTAAGAAAATCCAGAGATTCTAGTTGCTCGCTATTTAGCTTCACCATAACAGAACTTGGAGCTGATTCAGAGCCCGTCCCAGGCATTTTCTCTAAAGTTGGCAATACCTCCTCAAAGTTAGGTTTGAGAACGCCAGTTTCCAACATTTTCCCCAACACCTTTGATTCTGAATTCTTCAAGGAAATGGAGTCTTCTCTATAACCCTCACCTGACGTCACTTCTGATTTTCCAAGCACATCCTCCCTCAATATATCTTTCTGTGCTGGCTTGTAGCCATGGACTATTGGACTCTCATCATCCACCTTTCCTTCCGTTGCATCGACTGTGCTGAAGATCTCTTGCACCTCAAAATATTCCTCCTTTGAAACACTTTCTACCTCACTAAAGTCATTAAGGTCCGTAAAAAGTACCTGATACAAATATGAATATGCATTCACCTTCTACAGTTTTAGAGAAGAAAAACTAACAGAATAATAATTTAAACCTACCTCAACTCTGAAATCCTTTGGAAATTGATACTTGGCATCCCACAATGTATCAATTTCATTGCTGTTAAACATCAAAATACTTCCTTGAACAAACGCTGTGTGAAACATGACTCTAAATATCATTTCTTCACCTACCAAGTCTTCATTCAAATGAATGCACTCAAGCACAACGTCCCCTTGAATGAAGCTATGAATATCTAGTTTCACCAGTGCACATTCTTCCTGTACATAAACCTTATTAGAACATCCCAAATTTTTGGTTAATTTATCTTTCTAGTTTCAATTGTTTGACTTAAGCATCACCTTTCGGAAGTGACGAACTTGATTTTTTTTCATTGAATTTGAATAAAGAAGCTTGGAATTTCTATTAGTCCGTTTTTCCGAGTTCTGTCCGTAAACTCGTACAATTGGTCTGCACCCTTTTCCCCCTTCAAAAGTTGGAAGAACTCTAATGATCAGGCAATCCAAATATAGATCTGTGTCTGACGAACGCCAATTAGAACCCCGGTTTGTTCTAGTAATATACTGGAGATATCTCAACTGGGAAGGCTGAGGGTTCAAAGGAGACAGAAGCTGAAGAAGAGCCTTGGGAGCTTGCTTGTAGACCATTTCAAGAGTCTTCTGCTCATCATTGTACTGTTTTCGATATAGCAAAAGACTGGCAAGCATGAAAGCAAGAATTGGCCATCCTCCTCTTTCACAGTGCATCAAAAGCACATTTTGTTGTCCTTGACATGACAGCCAGCTTTCACTTGATCGAAGGAAGTAATGTATCATTTCAAGTGTCAACAACGGACATCCTTCGTATTGCCGTGGGTAATCCATAACAGTCATCTCATACTGAGATAAAATGTCCAATATTGGGCTTGGCTTATCTCCTTCTTTGAAATTAACCACCATGAAAGAAGATTCAGGGAAGTTCTGATGTAGCTGTGCCACAATCCTACACAGATACAACTTGTACTCATCTTCGTCAAACACATCCGTCGAGAAGCAACAGTCAAATACTGCAAAACAAACAGCAGAAAATCGAATCAAATAACCAACACGTGGTAACCATAGCCACTAAACGAAATATGATCATCATGACTATGTTCTTGGATAAATCCCAACCATACATGAAATGGCCAATATGTTACATGAATTTTTATTTTTCTACAATTTTATATATGAAATCAATTTTCACAAACCACAAACACCGTACAACATAACACCATTTTGAGTTTACTTACTGTAAACACCATTTTGAGATTCATCCTATATTGTTTCAAAAAAGAATCAATATCGAAATTGTACCAAAAATTTTATGCATTAATAAGATGGCATATGGTTTCTGAGCTCCAATCGAATTTCTAAGAAAGTTCAAATGCTAATGTATTCAGCAATTCAAGCTATGAAAATGAATAAGCTAAAACTACTTACTCCCTTAGTTGTAATAAATAACCGAAGATTAATCAACAAAACCCTAACAATCCAGAAATTAAGAGGTCATTGCCCACAGAAATTAACATCAAAACCAAAAATCTCCCAAACAGGATCGTGCAATTCAAACACTTGTAGAATGGAATCAATTTTAACCTAAATTGAACAATAAATCAAGAAGCAAAAAGGAAAAAGATTACCGTAAACACGTTCAGTAATCTCGAGAAGTCGCTCCTGCGGTTTCCGGTAAAAAATACGTTTGAACAGCGCCATCTAATGGCGCTGTTTCTCCCTAATCGGATCCAAAACCCTTTTCTCTTAACATCAGCAAGAATCAGATCACATTTGAATCTGATCTCCCGCTTCTCTCAACAAAAACACCAACGATTTTTGCAATTGTATTTTAATTCTCAAATTCAATTGCAAATTGTGCTCCTTATAACATTTTAACCCCGTTTCGATGTAAAAAATCAAACTACTCCGCCAATGCGATCTCCAAACACGTGAAATTGTTCAATTTATTCAAAATTTCAGAGCCTGAAAGCAAAATGAAGCTGTAAAAGTTTAGGAAGGTAAAAGAAACAAGAAATTCACAAATTAAAATTTAGCTTTAAAACTAAACCAAAAAAAACATGGAAATAAGGGAGGATTTAATTATGTAAATTAGATATTTTGATTCTAATTCTTTTATTAGAATCAAATAAGAATAAGCCTTTTCCGATTTTTATTTTTGGTCCAACTCATCAGATTTTAGTTTTAACTAAAAATCAATGTCCTTCATGTTCCATAATTTCATTAACAGTCTATTCTTCAAATCTGACGACTCAACGTCTAATATCATCTGAGAAGCATACAATTCGATTGCCATGTCTCGTGATAATACACATGTTACTTGAAAAAAGGTTTCGGTCCCTGTTTAATACGAAAACCGATAGCATTGCCGCCGGCGGCACCGCCATGAATCTCTTTGCATTCACAAACCATCATTTCACAACCTAGAGAAGTCCTTAACGAGGACGACCAGATTCAGCTCCACGACAATTGCCAATTCATTTATTCAATTTTTAAAAAATATAATATATATAGACGAGCACTCAATCTGGTGGAGCGAAAATTTTCAAATTACCGGGACTTATATTGTCAACGAAAATTTGAATAAACTGTATATATTAACTAAGAAATTATTGTGTCCAAACATAATTAAATTTATATCTTATTGAATGTTGTAATAATAACTGTGTTAGTTGATAAATGATTTTTAAATATAATAATTGAAAAATTGCTTAAATTTGAAAGACATATTTATATAAATATTGTGAAAAATAAAAATAATAATGTATGAAATATAGATAAATATAATATTTTACTTGATTTTTGTCCCATTCGAAAACACCCGCGAGAGTCACATTCGAAAACACCGCGATTTTTGTATAGCCGAAGTAATTGGAGAGAATCAATTCACATTTATTGCTGGGAAAAAATAGCTGACTGTAGTTTGATCGCGAACGAGGTCATAGACGGGTTGATTAAAAGTAAGAAAGAAACAGTGCTTTTTAAGGCTGATTTTAGCAAATCATATGATACAGTAGATTGGTTGTTTCTAAACTTGATTTTAAAGAGAATGGGTTTCAGCAGTAGATGGAGAAAATGGATAAATTTCTGCATTTCTACCCCGTCGATTGCGGTCCTAGTAAATTATTTGAAGTGGTTGCGGGTCTGAAGCTTAATTTGGAAAAAAAACCAAGTTGTTTGGAATTAATGTTGATGAGTGTAGAGTTAGGAGTTGGGCAAATTTGTTATTTTGTGGTTGGGCGAAGCTGCCTTCGATTTACTTGGGTCTTCCGTTGGGGCATCAAAAGAATTCGAAGTCATTATGGCAGCCCATTTTAGATAAAGTTAATGCTCGACTTCGGAGCTGGAAATGTAAGATGTTATCTTTGGGGCAGGCTAACTCTTATTAATTCTGCTCTAGTTAACTTGCCTGTGTTTTACATGTCTATATTCCCTATGCCTAAATCTATCGTTGAGAGGATTGATAGATGTATAGCGAACTTTATGTGGAATTCCAAGTCTGAAAGGTGCATTCATTGGGTTAAATGGGATAGCATATGTAGCTAAATCGTTTGGGGGTTTGGGAATTTTTGACGTAAAAATTAGAAATCGTTCCCTGCTAAATAAATGGATTTGGAGGTTTAGTTTGGAAACAGAGAGTCTATGGAGAAAGATTGTGGTGGCTAGGTATAATTATGACATGGATTCGATTGTTCCCAAAGCTGTGAATAGTAGAAATTCCTCCTGGTTTTGACGGTTTATTGTTAATCAACCAGCAACGTTGGGTTCTGATTTTTGTTCTGAACTAAGATTTGTTATGGGTGATGGGAGCAAGATTGAATTTGGACAGATTTCTGACTGAAAAATCTTCTCTTAAAAATTCTTTTCCGAGAATTTTTGGTGTAATAGTTAAAAAATGTGGGAAGATAAAAGATTTCGGGTGCTGGGTGAATGGTATATGCGAGTGGAGGATTGAGTTGAGAAGAGAGTTATTTGAATGGGAGAAGCAAATCTGGTGTGATTTTATCCTTGTTTTGAACAAAGCTATATATGCTAATCAAGGTTTTGATAGAGTTTATTGGACTGGTGCGCAGGATGGTATATACCATCATAAATCTTTCTGTATAAATGTGGCTTGTGATGGTAGGTTAGAAGATCCTGTGTGGAAAATGGTATGGCTTAAGTTTGTTCATAGTAAGGTTTCGACATTTGTGTGGAAAGCAGTCCGTCAAAGACTGTCGGTCATGCTGGATTTGGTTAAAAGAGGAGTAATCTGTTCAGACCAGCTTTTTTGTGTCTTTTGTAATAGCGATCCGGAAGCAATCAATCATGTCCTATGTCATTGTGCAGTAATTTAGACAGTTTGGCAACGATGGTGTAGCGTTTGGGAAGTTTATCTGGTTTTCCGTATAATGTAAAAGATTTATTGGAGGCATGGTTTTCTCTAAAGTTAAGGAAGAGGGTTCGGGATCTTTGGAAACTTGGTTTTTTTGGGCTGCTGTGGGTGATTTGGAATTGTAGAAATAAGATCAGATTTTCAGGAGTATCTCTTTCGGTTGATCACAGTTTTCATAAAGTGCTGGTGCAGATTGGGGTCTGGGCTAATAGCCTTTGGCCAGACCTCATTCCAGTGATGAATGATTTTATGAATAACCCTGAAGCTTTCGCTCGTGGTTCTTAATGCTGAACCATGCTACTGCGCCTATTGCTGTTCGATTCTGCCCAGCTGTTTTTGTATTTGTTTATGCCTTAGCTGTTGTGGTTCCCTGTTACCGTGTGCTTTGTTCTTTCTCTGGGTTTGCTTCGTCCAGGTTCTTGTGGACCATGGTGGTTCGGATTGGTACATTTGGAGTTAAGCTCTGTGGTGTGGTCAGTACCTAAGTCGAACTCTTTTTCCTCCGTATATGTTTAGGGAGTTTTTTAATGAGACGCTTGGGATGGTTACTTTGTAAATCCTTCAATTCGAAATTTCAATACAAAGTACTTTTTTCAAAAAAAAAAAAAAAATTAAAGGAAAAACTGGAAAAGGCCTTTGGTATTGATTCCATTCACACGGCATGCACAGTCGCTGGTTCGCTAGACCAAAACCGAGTCTTTCCTTCTATTACTTCCTTGAGTTGCAGGCTGCAGATGAACTTTATAAGGTGAACCATGGAAGTGAGACGATGGTCGATGATAATGAACTTTAACAGCAACTTTTTGTTGAAAAACCATCTTCATGAGAAGAATCATTTGATGTTGGTTGAGGGATGGACGTAGAATTTTATATTAGAGGTGAATGTCTAAAATTTCAGGAGGAGACGAACTTATAAAATTTCACGGGTAGAAACAGATTTTTAATAAAAGAATATGATAATTTTAAATTTTTAGGGGGGCGATTGCCCCACTCGCCCCTATGATCCGTCCCTGGTTGGCTCCTCGTTTTCTTCATCCGCAGAAGCAGGTTGGTCGTTAAGATCAATTGTCACATTATTACTTTCCTAGCAAATTGTCCCTTGGCGCGAGTTCGTGTTTCAGCTAGCGTTTTCCGGTTAGCATATCTAATCCTCTTATCGAAACAAAACACTTTCCTTTTCTGCCTGAATTTGGTCAATGCTGCCTCTCTTCTATCAACCTTAAGCGATCTCTTTTCGCCAGAAGATGAAGTTCCAAATGTTGTACATGAGTGAGAAGTCGGCACCTGATCAGACAGTACGAACGTATCAACCTGGAAGTACGGAAATGATGCCGCCATCCCACTTGCATGAGGATGGGAATGACATTGTTGAAGATGATGGTAGCGCAGTTGAGGCAAGGAACTAGCACAATTTCTAAGGTCGGGGAGGTTGTTCTGAAACAAATGGGACGGTGATGATGGCATCGGTACTTGATTTCCCCAAGAATATCTCTCCCATGTGTACCAATTCTCACATACTTCAGCATCATTAATCACATGTTGATCAGAAAGCATAAGATTTCCTTCAATACTTTACTTTTAGCAGCATTTTCATCATTCAGGTTTGTCACTTGAGTACCGTTCGGCAAGCCACCAATATTCAGCTTACTCTTCTTCGGACCAGATAATAATTGACCTGCGCAAAATGTCACCAACATTCCAACATCGGTAAGGATCAGTTTAAGAGCAATCAACCAGTTCTGCAATCACTTATACCTGGATGACAGTCTGATGAATCAACCTGAGGCGGCTCTCCAGCAATGGCAGCAGACTGAAATAGGAAGCATTTAAATGAATACAAACAAGAGGTTTCTTTCATAACACCATCGATTTTCCGTGCATTACAAGTAACTGAAGTATCCTTTCAGATCTTTTCGATAAAGGCATGCTTAGAGATATGATACTTCGAACCGTATCATATAGCTAAACTGATACTGTCTGAGACTAGGACTTCAAATCATACATGCAAAATTCAGATATGTAGAGGTACAATTAATATACATTTGGAACTTATAATTGAAGCAAGCTTTACGCACCAATAGCGTCATGGTGCAAGACCATTCCTAGAGCAACAGTTTATGAATCAAACATACCTTTCGCACTTATTTTTTAAACACACAAAAACTCATAATTGGTTTCTCAACTTCAATACTCACTTCATCTTCCCAATGTGCCGTAACACCCATCTCCGGATTGGTGCTTGTCTGGGGCTGGTCATCTGAAAACAGAGTAGAACTGTTTGTATTAGCATCACTCGGGTCTGATGCAATTAGTTCAACACCACAGTTCAAGACATTCTTATCTGCCAAACCAAGCTGCCAGGGAAAGCATAAAATTGAATATCAAAACACTCAGAGAAGGCAAAGGAAAAGTAAATTGCTATAAGCGAACCAAGTGCCGCCTTCTCCACATGGGCGTCCACAAGTTCGACAGTCCATTCTTTCGTAACGGCTTGACAAGATAGCCAGCAGCATCGAACCTCGAGCACTTCACAGCAGCAGAGATGTCATCCTGTGCCAACATCACTTGTCATAGAAAAGAAGGAAAATATACAATGATCAGACCACAAACACTTGGGAATATTCATTACCACAAGAAAAACTTACTGATAACAGAAATATGGCGCAGTTCCTTATCCCTCATAACATGCTTTAACATCTTCATTCCTTTGGTTATTGGGAGGTTGACCTCAGAAAGAATGATGTCGA